CAGGCGGGAATCGAACTCATGTGGAAGCGGCTTTAGATTCTCAGTGCTGTGCTTTAACCTGCTGCGCCACTAGGGATGGCCCTGTACCACATCTTTTTAATCCATTCATCTACTTTTGGGCATTTGGGTTGATTTGAAAGGAAGACATTTTTATTTGGGTCTTCTCTTAGGAATTATAATGCTCAATTAGTCAAATTCCTCTGTTTCTTTTCTCAGTTCAGTTTAAAAACACTACTGATTTCAGATGGCTCAACCTTTCTGGAAGCAACTTTGTTTTTTCTAAAAGTCGACAGAATTCTAAATAATCATGTTGTAGACTTGTTATCCTAAATGTTTCATTTTTGTATTGTCTAAAAATTCTTATGCTCAACATCCAGAATAATTGTATTTTCTATTATCATTTGGTATATTAAGTAGATTTAATTTTCTGTTTTTCCTTTTGGTTGGAAAATGTCTTTATCATTTGGTATTTTCTATGAGCTTATTAAAACAAAGGGAAAAGTTTACATAGTTCCATTAAGCCTAGAACCTAAATATGTTGGAAAGCAAACTAAGGTGAGACCAAACATTAGCTATTTTCTGCTGTATTATACCAAAACTCCTTCCCTTTGTGTACCAATTTTATAATGAGATTGGACAAGGCCTTTTGGGACCTTCCTCTAATCTACCCTTCCAGTATTCATTTCATAATTTCCATGCCCACATGCTGTTCTACAGTTGGCTTAAATTTAACATACTGCCCCAGTTCTCCAGAAATATTTCTAGTTCTTAGCCCCTGGCATAAGGTAGCTTTGAGTAGCCATTCACTATTTTTTGGCAGCCTGATTTTATCCTTCCCCAGCATGGAAAGTTACAATTGTTACTTCTCTGAAATGCTAACTTATTTGCCTTGCTGGAATACATCCACATGTAACATTCATAAAGACTTATTTATACCCTTTATTGAATTGTCCTTTGGGGTTGATGATGAATGTGTCCCCTTCACATGACCCTTCACTACAACAGGGTCTATGCAAATCAGATTGCCAGCCAGGGAAGTTTTACTGAATTGATGGTACAGCTCAGATCTTAATGAACAGCAAAAGCTGTATAAATATGGAAGGGAAAGCTGTTCTGGGAAATGGCTGAGCCATAGGAAGTCTTGTAGGAAAATCTGAAGTCCTAAAACCACACTAAGTGTCAGAATTTGTACTTGACTTAATATTTTATAAATTTATAGTACAAGGAGACCAGTGGTGGGAGATTATACTTAGAGCAGTAGGTCAGGCCAGGCTAGGCAAAGCCAAACAGTAACAATAAGAGGAAATGTGGGCCAGAGGGGCAGAGTGGATTCCTCCCTTTGGGATTACAGTGCTGGCTACCCCCCAGGGTTCACAGAGCATCTGTCAAAACCAGTTTATCTCTAGCTCAGTCCTGTACCAGAAAGTTGGAGAAATCAACTTGTGAATGTTACCCAATGACATCGTGAACTTGTTACAGGGCCACTCAATGTGAATTGGGTTGCTTGGCTGTGGGTCCTCACCCAGGCATTTAAGATCAACTGCAGGCAAACACAAAAAGATTAATAAAAGGTTTATTTACAAGAGAAAAGGAAAATGAATAACTCAGGGAAAGAGAGAGAAAGAGATAAGTTGATTAACATGTCTTACTAGTTCTGCTGATGTGGAACCCCAATAACATGCGAAAACGGGCAAAAAGCTAAGAGATCAACTGCAAACCACAAGGCCAAGAGACCTTCAGAGCCCACATGTCCAGTTTTATATGCAAACCTGGCTGCTTAACCTCACCTTCAGGTCCCAGCATGCTTCTCTTTGATGTTGATGGGATTTGTAGTTCCAGTGTCGGGTGGGAGTGGAGTCCACAAAGCCTGTATCTGTAGAGTTTGTTAGGACATCATTCCCTCCTTAAAATCTCAGTAAGTGTCCCAAGTCTTATGGAACACAACTCAAGACAAGAGGGGGGTGGTTACATGGCCTTTGAGAATGATTTGAATGTGGTTCTTTTAAGTGAAAGTATTCTCTTAAAAGTTAACTTATTCTTTCAAAAAGGTGTCAGAGAGATAGGGAATTTAGTATTGATGAGATTCCCTTTATTTGTCCTTTCTTTAAACTAATGGAATTGTGTAGCTATGATCCAGAGGTAAACTTTCAGTTTCCTTAACAGAAACAGCGAAGTTCTTAAACCCAAATGTTCAGGGATTAGGATGTATGGAAGATGACACCTGAAAATAGTCAAGGGTTTTCAACAGAGATCATTAATAATTTTTTCAATTAGATTCTCCGTTCATGGAAGGAATATGACCTGGCAGTAATGATTATAAATTATGGAAAAAAAATGTTGGACATCACACCCAAGTGCAAATCTCTGTTTGGTTTTGTTGAATCAGAAGAAGTGCCACAGGAGGTAATTATTTCTCATCTTTATTTTAATTTTTTTTAAGATTATTTATACACACAGAATTGGGGTATAGAACAGAGGTGCAGGGGCATTGACAGGATTCACCAGAGACAGAGTAGGGAGCGGAACAGGCAGATCGACAAAGTACATGGCTGAGGGGCACAGCAGGTGGGTCAGGAGAGGTCTGCTTCACCATGTGTGTCAGGTCCCTGGCTAGGGATAGAACTCATGTTACCCTGGTAGCACTGGCTTCATAGTGCTGTGCTTTAACTCTTTGCGCAATGAGGGAGGGCCCTATCTTTAAACACATATTTAGTCATGTCTCTTAAGGGGTCATGTGGAATTAATAAACAGGTTAGAAAACTGCTCCGTTTTTAATTGGTCATATTTACGTAAACATAATATATAGAGAGCTGCTTCTTCCCTTTATTTTCTTTTAATCATAGTCAAGAAAATGTAAAGGAATCCAGGCTAGAATACTGAATGCTCCCATATCACCAAGACTGCTCATTACTTAGGCCTTTACAGCCTCTAACACCTGCTGGGCATGGGCCTGCACACCCTCTGACATTGCTGCCAAATTGAATATTAGATTATTTTTGGTGGGTCACTGAAGGCAGTAAATATATTCAGAGTTTTTATGGTGTTCATAGTATATTTCCTAAACTCAGGGCCACATTTAAATTGTCTTCTTTATGAGATGGCTGAAGTTTGAGACTATCTGCTTCTCAAGTGTGGGTCTCCTTGGGCCCATTTTATTGCCTTTTCTTGAAACTATATGGGTAAATGTTTTTGCAGTTCAAATTTTTAAATGTTGCTTAGTTTCCCAAGGGGTTTCTGAGGGGCACTGGGAATGACAGGAAGCCCTCTAGTGACCAGGCTGGGGTGGAAACTATCACCCCGACTGTATTTCAGCTAGAAGAGCTACTCGTCTCTCTACTATATATTGAATTTCCATGTAGATGTCTGCTTGCCACAAAAAGCCTGGCTGGATGAATTTATAAACCTTGTAAAAACCTTTGTTTTGTCTAGAGAGAATTTTGATTAAGCTGGGAGCAATTTGAGGATTTTCAAAAACTGTGCTTTAATTACTGTCAGAGTCCATCAGCATGTCCCTGTACGTCTTCCAGCCTTGATTCAGGATCCTGTCTCTTCACATCCTTGCAGGACAAGGCCACAGATCTCTTTCCTTAGAGTCTCTAGTTCAGCAGAAGCTGTAACACTTCCTTCTTCCTAAGACCATAGAGATCGAGAAACTAATACCTAATGTATAAAAGCAAGAACTTACTATGGCCACTCCAGGTCTCTTTAAGCCTAAAGGGTTTGGGAGTCTGTCTGCCTACCTGTCTGCCTGCCTGTCTGCCTATCTGACATCTATGGAGCCAGCCAGCTAGCTAAATATCATCTTTTATAGACTAGGAAACATTAACTGTCAGTTGTCAGGCTTAGACCTTTGAAAACACTGCAGGAAGCTTGAGTACATGGCTGTCAGTTCTTAATCCACTAATTACCTCTCCTGTTATATTTCAGTGAAAGGTAAGGCTGCAAAGACAATTAGCCTAGTTGTAAAGAAGCTCCTTCTGGGAAAAAGAAAAAAAAAAAAAGAAAAGTGAATGATACACTTCCAAGTTCTGACTGGAGATTTTCTTTGGAGAATTTTGGGACCTAAACCCTCAGCTGCTTCTAGAAGAGTGTGTGTAGTGGAAGGACTAATTCAGGGTGGAAGTTACAGGGCAAAAGGGAAAGAGAAGATGTATTTTGGCAAGCTTCATAAAGATGCTAGTACTGTGTCTGGTGTTTAGTTGGAACTCAATTATTGTTATTATTAACCATAATGTCATTTAGCCATGTAGATTATAGTTTTGCCTACCATGTATGAAAGCTGAATGTGTAATTGAAAGAATGTTCCTAGAAAATGACAATGATAGAAACATTATGAAGTATATTTGACGTTCAACCTATTCCTAGGACCCTAAGAAGGCTTCCAACTCTAAGAAGCCACAGCAGGTGTTATCGGACAAAATGAACGAACAGCTGGGCTTGTTGGAGACGCATCTACTTAAGCTGACAAAGCAAAGCAGTCAGTGCCTTTTCTTTCTCTGTACTTCTGTTTAGCTCTATTTACTCAACTTTAATGAAATATTTTGTTAAAAGGATTAAAGATGAGATCAGCATTTGGTAAACCCTTTAAGGTATAGGCAGTACTTTCACATTATGTCATTAATTCTAACAATATTCCGTTAACAAGGGATTGCTAGCCACATTTTACAGATACGACTTGTAAAGATCAAGCAATTTATTTAGGATTACGTAGCTGGCTTGGATTTGAGCCTAAATCCTGTGACTTTGAAGCAGAGCTTCTCAACCTTGATGCAACTGCCAATTTGGGCCAGATAATTCTTTGTCGTGGGGGGCGTTTCCAGGCATTGTGGGTATTGAGCAGCATTCCTGGCATCTTCCCTTAGATGTGGAGCACAGCTCCCCCCAAACAATGGGTAGGCCAGTGTTGCCAAATGTATTGGGGTGGGAAGGACAAATTAAGAATCACTTTAACCACAAACATGTGCGTGAAAATTAGAAGAACAGGGTATGAGGTAGTAGTATATGAGCAGTCTGAACCAAGATCTACTCTGATGGAAGATTAGGCTGCCTAGGTCAGTGTGCTATAATTTTTCATCAGGCTAATATGTTAACACACTGTTAACATGTTATATGTAATATGTGCACCATAGGCTAATATGTCAGCACACTGATGACAGTTTTGTCCTTTAAGTTGGGACAAAACGGATTCTTTAAGAAATGGATTTCTTTTCTGACATTAATTTTTTTTTTTAAAAAGTAGGTGCTTCCACTCTTCTAGAAAAAACAAGAATACCTGAATGTGTCTCAGTAGATGGCTTTACCTGTAACCCCTAAGTATTTTGGATCTGTCTATAATTGTAGTTTCTTGACCCTGGTTCACAGCCTCAGGAATAGCTGAGGAGACATGCTTCAGAATCCCCTTCCCTGGATCTCTGTGGCATGTGTGTTTCAAGGTGAATGCTTTGCTACTTACAGTTTTAGGAAACCTAATTTGGGGAAAGCTATCCCTGTCTCGTAACACACACACACACACACACACACACACACACACACACAGAACCTACAACTTATTATTATTTTTAAAATTTTAGATACTACAGCTGAACTCCAGGGAACAGAGGACCCTATATTTCTTTACCCTATTGTTTTAAATTGGTCAGTCAAAAGTGCTACCAAAGAAGGTAGGTGGCTTAAATATACCTATTGTGGAGGGTTGTTTGAGCTGTGGATATTATTATATGTAAAGATTTCACCTGTTCTGTCCAGAAGATTTTTGGTTGTAATCCATTTAAAATAATACAGACTCTTGATTGCCAAGAACTAAAAGAAACCTAAACATGTACCTGGTGGAAAGTCTAGAAAGACAGAACCTCGATGTTGGCTTCCTTTGATAATGGTGTTATGAAGCTTGCAAATGGTTTGATTATGAAGCTTGCACAAACTAGGGAATTGGAAGCGTGTTAGTGATCTTAAGATCAGCTTTAAAGAAATAGCTTAACTGGGAATGAAATATAATAAACTCAGGATAACTTGTCTTTCTGATAATTATCTGCACTGTTTTCCCAGCCAGTCATGTAGTGGAAGTCATTTTTAATGAAATCTTCCTCAATATTGACATATTTGGAAGAGAAATGAAACATAGACCATTTTAAAGAATTACTTGATCTTAGAAAAACCACAGTTCATATTACTTTTACTTCTTTTGTTTTTAAAGTGAGAAACCTTTGCCTGTTGGGTCAAAATGAATGTTAGCAGTAGGGCCTTTCAGCATCAGGATTAAGTGTATTGGTAAACATGAACTTTCTTGTTTTCACAGTTATGAAATTTAAGCAGAGACCTAGATTCCTGGAATTCTTTACACAAGTTATGATGAAATGCTTGAATGATGAAAAATTTCACCTTTTGATAGACATAGCAAATCCTGTCAATGACTTCTTAAGGAGGTACTTGTAATATCTGTTTTATTTCTTGTATGAGCAGCATTTAATATAAGCAGCATTTTAATTTTAAGGTCTATAAGGTCGATGAAAAAATAGGGGGTATATAGCACAAACAACTCCCTGGGAGGTACTGAGGATTGATATTTCTATGTGTAAATGAACTAAGGGATAAGGATGCAGCATGTTTCGATTTCTTGCATGAAATCCATGCTATTCTCAGGGTGGGCAGTAGCATCTCTAGATCGTTAGCAACTCTTAGAGGAATTGGGTCTATTTTTTGTTATTTTCCATCTCTGCAGTAGCTAGCAGAGACTTCGGGGGTATTCATTTGCGTGGATGAGGTTCTTGCTGGGTATTCCCCAGACAGAAATAGTTTAATTTAAAAATGTTCCCTCTGGCCCTCCCTGGTGGCGCAGCGGGTTAAAGCACAGCACTGAGAAGCTGAAACCACTTCTGCATGAGTTCGATTCCCGCCTGCCCCGGAGGTGACCACATGGTGCGGCAGACCTCTCCTGACCCGCCCGCTGCTCCCCTCAGCAGTGTACTTCGTCTATCTGCCTGTTCTGCTCCCCACTCTGTCCCTGGTGCATCCTCTCACCCTCTGCATCTCTGGCCTGTACCCCCAGTTCTATATAAATAAATAAGTAAAAATAAATAAATCTTAAAAAAAGAAATGTTCCCTCTGGGGTGGGAATGGGAGCAAAACAGGAGGGAAGAACACAAGGGAACATGGTGATAGTTCACAATGGAGACATGGGGACGACAATGACGCAGGAAAAAATTTAATTAATTAATAAAAAAACATTTTCACGAGGGTATAAGTGAAATAGAAAAGTGATATATCATTTTGGAAGCCTATGGCCCTTGTCACCTTTGTAAGTTGAATAGTTATTTCCATTTACCTACAAGGAAAACCGAGTTTCTATTAAATAAATAAACCTCAAAACTCTTTAAAATTCTCCCTCTGGTTCTCTAATTCTGAATGATTGTCTTTGTCCCCAAAGACAATTATTGTGACTCAGGATAGTTATAAATGAAGACGGAAATTAGTACAAGTAAATCAAACTTTGTTCCCCTTCCCACCCACCCCCCCCCATGTAGATTCATCTTTCTCATGTTGGTGAAAGTAAACATCAACATGAGGTCTGTTTTTAAAATGGCAACAGAAAAAAACAACCTCATAAAGATATACGGGAAAATATGCTTCCTGAAATAGGCACTTATTAGAATAAAAGCTTGGAATATATGTGCTTCATAATTTGAGAGGTGAAAGAGGAAATGGCTTTTATTAAGTGAAATAGGCCATGGTAATACAAGAATTGGTCAGCATTAGAGAATTCCATTAAATTAAAAAAACCATAGCCAGAAGCTGTAGGTAATATACTCAATATGAAAGAAAAACAGAAGACAGTTTTCCTGTGAGGTAGAATTTGGAGAGCTGACAGTGGAGGTCTAATATAAAAATAATAAATATTCTGAAAGAGGAAAACAGAAATAAGTGACTTGGAAACATTGACCAGTGGTAGAATAAAAGACCTGCAATTGGAGGTTGAGGAAAGTACTAATTTCCATTTTCAAAGCTAAGTTGTTGCTTCAAGACACTTTTCTATAAATCAGGGTTTATTGAGAAGGGCTGATGAAATACTTTGATTTTCATTTTGATAGGAATATTCATTTTTAAAAAAAATGTATTTATTTATGCATATAGAACTGGGGTACAGGCCAGAGGTGCAGGGGTGGTGAGAGGATTCACCAGAGACAGAGTGGGGAACAGACGGACTGATGGACTACACTGCTGAGGAGAGCAGTGGGCGGGTCAGGAGAGGTCTGCCATGCCATGTGGTCACCTCTGGGACAGGAGGGGATCGAACTCATGCAGCAGTGGCTTTAGCTTCTTAGTGCTGTGCTTTAACCTGCTGTGCCACCAGGGAGGGACCTAACAGATCATCTTTTAACTATCTTTTTTTTTTTTTTAAAAGATTTATTTTAATTATTTATGCATACACGAGCCAGGATATAGGCCAGAGATGTGGGGGTGGGGAGGTAATGCTCAGAGGATTCACCAGAGACAGAGTGGGAAGCAGAATAGGCAGATTGACTGAAATATACTACTGAGGGGATTATGGGGAAAAACAAGCGAGGTCTGCTGAACCTTGTGGCTGGGGATCAGAGTCTGCCATAGTGGCTGCCTATAGCTTCGCATTGTTAATACTTAATCCCTTGCACCACTGGGGAGGTCTCTTCACTAGTTATTTTTTAATGCCACCTTTTCACATTGAAGTGGTTGATTCTACCACAATGAAGGCATTTCATGAACTCCCATAACAAAAAGTCAAAGTATATGGGACAAAATATACAAAATATGACTTGTTGAGAAGCCTGGTGAATTTGACAGAAACAAAGTAATATTGAGAGACTTTAACATGATATTTTTAAAAAGACAAAAAGAAAAAGAACATAGAAAGAATACAGCATATAATTTAAAAGATTAAGGTGTATAGCTAATTAAGACTAAGCACCTTTTGAACACTTAATGAGTAGTAAATACTAAAAAATAATATTTATGCTGCAGAATTAAGTTCAGTAGTTTATTTGGACAAAAATTTTCAAAGACCATATTCTCTTATAGCATGATAAAACCAAAATTTTATAACAAAATAAATTATATACATATGTAATTATTGGATCAAAAAATAGAAGTCTAACTAAAAGAATAGAATCTTTTGAAAATATGATCAAATGTACTCAAAATAGCAGTTAGAGGAGAATGATTAACTTTAAAGTTTCTATTACTGAACAAGGAAAAATAAAATTAAACTTTGATTGAACTCAAGAAATTATAAAAAAATTCTAAAAAAGCCTAAAGAAAATAAAAAATGAAATGTCCTTTATAAATTTATATTAAAATGGTCCAATTGATAGCTGCTAGAATTATTTCTTTGAAGATATGAATAAATTAGGGAAATTTCTGGTCAGCATAGTAAGAAAAGGTGAAATACAAGTAATCCAAAGAAAATAATCATCAATTTGAAAATGGTTAAACGAATATTAGATAGCATATATGCTATTTAAGATAAATAAATTTAAAAATCAAATTGAACATGATGATTATTTGGAAAAATTTGAGTTGATTAAAGCATTTTCTTTATAAAGAGAATGAGAAAATAGAAAATTATGGCTCAATCTTACTTAGCAGTTAATAGAATGAAAAAATCCCAAATAAAATGCTAGCTGATAATTATAGTAGTAAAAATATAGATGATATTCTCAATATATACAGTAGAAAATCTGTAAATATAATTATCATGAGTAGCTCAAGGAGCCTTTAGTCAGTGCCAAAAAGTGATATGTTGAAATTTAACCATTCCTGGAATATTTGAAAGAGACAACTGTTTTTTGTTAAAATAAACTCTAAAGAAACCTATTATTCCTTCTCTACTTAACAGTATTCTGAAAGTTCTTGCCAAAAACATTAAGACAAGAAATAGAAAGTAGGATTAAAATTTATGTGATTATCACATAATAGAATCTCAAAGATGTTTGTTAAATAAATTCCACAGTGAAGTACTCTGAAAATGGAGCTGTGATAGATATTTGCAAATATTTTAACTTAACAAGGTAATTAGCTGAAAATTCTATTATATCAGATACAATAGAATGACTAGATGCAAACTTGGTAACTTTCCTATATAAACTAGAAGGTATAATAGAAAAATGACCCTATTTCTGTGAAGTGCAGGATTAAGTTTATCAGGAATTTTGAGGGGACCTAGCCTAATATAAAGAAGACTAAATCTCTTTGTCAAGAGATATAAAAACTTTTTACTTGAATTACTTTTTGGGCAGATAGACTTTGCAAAGAATTCTATTATCTTGGTATTAATTTATTGGTTTAATGCAATTCCAACAGGTTAGTTTATATAAAATGTGCTAGAATAATAAACAATATTAGAAAAATAAAAAAGAAACACAATAAGAGATTTGTACTATCAGATAAAGTATAATAGAGTTCTGTTTGTGAAATTATGGGCAGACAGTCATTGAGGCACAGCGGAGTCAGAAATAGGTACTAAGTAATCAAAATAATGACTAAACAGCAAATTGTAAGATCAATAATATAGACCACATAAAGATTTAGAAATTCTGTTTTTTACAACATACCATAAAAAATAAAATAAAAAACAACCAGAACTAGCAGGAGGCATTCTCCTTAATTTGTTTACTCGATGAGACTTCTATAGTGCATGGAGGAGATTACTGAGAGTGTTGGGAAGTCATATCCTAGTTGTATATCACGACCTTCTTTCTCCTTCCTTTCGCTTTCTGGCATGACAGCAACCAGGTCAAACATTTTTGGAAGGTGGGAGAGGGAGGAGATGGAGATGAGACCCAACTGCTGGGACCGTGGCTGGCAGCTGGTTCAGGATGCACGTTGTAGAGAATGGACGGGGTCCCAACGTCGCCAGGAGTCACTGATCCAATGTTTCTAGTTTGGGCTGACAAAACATTTGCCAAATGAATGCTAACTAACCGGGAGATTTTCAGAACTGCTGCAGCCAGGCTGGAATCCCAACCAAGTGTTGGATCCTGGACCATCTTCATCAAGATTGACCTGTGAGACCAATCACCAAAGAGATGAAAATGAATGTAGAACCACAAACCCTGAAACTAACCTTCCAGACTCACTAGTCATTTCATTAGCTTGTGTTAATGAGCGTCTACATTTTACTCATTTTCAATGTTTGGATCCCATTTATCATGTGATTGAAGAGTTCTGCTATAGCTACCGAGTACTTCCTAAGAGAAATAGGAATTTTAGGCAATGTGTGAAGATAAATGAAAAGCATCAAAAGAGGAAGGGATAAATAATGAGAAACTTCACAGTATGTGGAGAAGGGATTGGATTACCAAAGTAGTTCATGGAAGATGAGGGAGAAAGCAAGATTAAGAGCCACTACTGGTGTTTGGGGGGTGGAGGGAGTGGGGCAACATCTAGTGATCGTCTAATATGCTTTGCTCCTTTTGTATACAGAAAGTGATTGTGGCTAGGAGTTTGCCCATGATGGAATCAAAGAAATGAAAATACGATTGGAAGCAAGTAACGGAAGTCTGCTGGAAGCTCGCCAGCTTGCTTAGGGTCATTCTTATATAGTTACAGATTCTGTTTCCAAGGGATGTGTTCACTTCGTTCAGCCCAGTATTTTTTCTTCTATAACTTAGGTCAACTCTCATCTCTTTTTTATGATATGACTTACATTTTGCTTTCTTGGGAGGCCATCTCTTCCTCCTGAACAGGAACTAATTTATGCATGGAAACACAAGGAACTTCGGAATACGATTTTGGTTAACTTCAGTGGCAACATTTACTAGAGATTTAACTTCTTGATAATTTTGCAAAAATTTAAAAAAGATTTATTTATTTATGTATGCAAGAACTGGGGTACAAGCTAGAGGTGCAGGGAGTGAGAAGACTCACAGGAGACAGAGTGGGGAGCAGAACAGGCAGATTGACTGAAATATACTGCTGAGGGGAGCAATGGGCGAGACAAGAGAGGTGTGCTGTGCCATGTGGTCAGCTCCCTAGTTGGGACCTGTGCTGTGGACAGCTTCACAGTGCTGCACATTAACCTGTTGTGCCACCAAGGAGGGCCCAGTTTTGCAAATTCTTGCAGGCCCTTTTAACTAAATTTTATCTTTTTGTATTAGGAGGAATGAATCTCTAGTTGGAGTTAAGAGAGTGAAAAATAAGGACACTGCTTTGTCTAAAAAGACCCCTAAATCTTTGAAGAAATTCAAAGCTGCAGTAATGGAGACTGGAAGAGTAAGTTTCATCAATTTAAAGTTAGTGAAGATGATTGGCTGCATTATAATATGAAAAAGAAAATAACCATAATTTTATAATTATGCAATATTTAATAATTCTTAAATCATCCCTTGGATATTGTCATTCTTTGTCTACAAGGGTACTGCTGACAGCAATTTTAATTGAAGTATAAAAACCTACTATATTTTAATGCCAAGAGTGACACATTAGAGTATGAGTGAATCATGTTCAGAGTTTTAATCTCTAACATTTTATTATCTTCATATTTAGCCTACAGAAGGGACACAAAGAAGAAAAAGTAAAGGAAAGGAAACGCTGAGGGAATTTTTTCGCAGAAATCCAAGTCTTTCTGAAATGAATGAACAAGAAAGGTATTGATAATGAATTAAATAAATACTCACTTCAGTGACTGTCTCAGGGTTATTTTGGGCGCGAGGATACAGTGTCTGACATTGCGCCCAGGGAGCTTCCATGCTCGTGAAAGGAAGCTGACCCTTACCTGATCCTGAGCATGCTGGCACCTTGATTTTGGACTTCAGAAAAGAGTAGGAATTACATATTTAAGACATATTTAAGAGTACAACGTACTTGTTGGAAGTTATCCTGGGTTGCTTTGAATTCAGTAAACATGAAGGTTGAATGCCTTGTTTTATCTCCTCACCGTTTTAACGCTATCTTAGTTTATTCTCATTTACTCTTTTACAGATTAAAATTATCCTTATTGTTTGTATTTTCCATGAGTAGATCTTGTGTGTCTTCACTTTGATTGATACCTAAGTATTTTTTTTAAACTACAGAAAATATCTTCAGAATTTCATTTTTAATGGCTTGTGTGTTGTTGGTATGTAGAAAATTACTTTTGTATACTGAGTTTATCTTCAGTAACCCCAATTCTAATATCTTTGGTTTATCTTGGGTTTCATGAATATACATTATGATTGTCTATGATTAATAATTGGTCTATTTCTTTATTTTCAATTTTTATACTGCCACCCCCTGTTTCTAGTCTTATTGTCTAGCCTGAATTGTCTCAGTCTGGAAAGAAATGCTATCAGTGGATTTGTTTGTTTCACATTTCAGAGGAAAAATTTCCATGCTACCAGCATTTTATTAAGAATAATGTTTGTGGGAGGCTTGTTTTTGTGGATATCTTTTATCATATTAACATTATCATTTATTTTGATTTTCAACTTGTTTCTGGTTTGCCCAGCAGGGTCCCTTTCTGGCTGATCCCTTCGTCATTTTGACTTGTTCCCATCTTTTTTGGAAGCTCCTTACTTACTTAAGATGTTCATCTTGTGTTTACCTTGTCTCAGCCCTGAAATCAGTTGGTTTCTTTTATTGTGGAAAATGGTATTTGGAATCTAAATTCTGGGGACTAGTCATGTATCTGTACTTTTAAAACTTCTCAACAGACAGAGCTAGGAAATATGTGTCTGCATAAATCTGTCTATTTTTCCATCCCTATGTCCTTCATTTATGTGATGTATGTGTGTGTTGATTTCAGTTCAGATTTATTATCTGTTACCATGAACAAGATACTTTAACTTACTGTTTGAGATTTTTTTTTTATTATTCAGTTTAAATTGGAGATAGTTTTCTTTCTCCAGCATTATTCTGATTACTGACCAACAACAAAGTTATCAGTAAAAAAATAATTTGATGAAATATTTTGGAGTGAAGTCATACCATATAAATATAAAATTAATTGCACTACATTTAGATCTTCACAGAAATGTTTTTTTAAAAAATTAAACATCATTATATTTCAAATCTGAACTGTTGGCTCAGGTCGATGATATTCGTTTTTTCCAGAGCATATTGAATATGCTTTTATGAAGTTATTTCAGCTATAGTTGACTGATGTTTTATTTCCTCCATAATTCTGTTAATGTTAGAAGAACTTCTGCTGAATTTTTTTTCCCCTTCAGGGACAATACAGAGAAATGATTCTCTTGCCTAATATTGAAGTTATTGATGAGTATGAGCAGGTTATAATTTAGTTGACTAATCTTAGTAGTCTTTTGTTTGTGGAAAACAACAGCTCTTTTGGGTTTGATTCGAGGATACAGATACTGCGAAAGCTGAGTCCTTGTCCTTGTCCTTGTCATTTGTCCCAGAGTTCTTTCCTTCCCTCTTTCACATTTTTAAAGAATAACGTTAATAGTTTATTTTTATATCATCTTGTGCCTTTTTCCACCTCAGTTGTAATCCCTGTGGGCTTCCCATCACCAAACCTCTTTCACATTTTTAGCGTTAAGGAAATGACAAATAAGCCAGAAGTATTGACATAAGGCAGTTGAATGACTTCTTGAGGTATTTTGTACAAATTGTAATCATTCTTCTTTATTAAGTACCTGGAAGTTTGTCTAATTTTGAAACCTCTTTTTCTCTGGGCAGGAATAAGAGAACTGATGTTAGAAAAATAGCCCATCGACGTCTAGTGCATAACTTGAATCCTCTAGTGAATAATTATGTTAAAAAAAAGAGATTTCATCAAATATTTCTTGAGGAGCTTCCCTGGAAATCTCAGATGAACTTATATCTGGCAATTGCACACTTCAATGTGGTTTTAATAAAACTAGGGGATCGGACGAAGATGAAATCTAGCACTCTGCATACAATGGTCAGGTATGGGATATTATCATTGAATAATAATATTTGTTTAAGTCTCATGATCATAGATTATATTTGCTATATTCAGGGATCCAATGTTGATAATAACTTGAAAAGGTTTATAGAATGTCTCTGTCTTTATATTGGTCATTGGTGTGTTTCTCAACTTCTTAGCTCAAAATCTTTCTAAAAGCAAGTGCAAGATCTAAATTTTTAAAGTTTGCATATATCTTGAATATATTTGTTGATGTTAGCTCTCACTTAAAGGAGAAAGTGTAATTCCATGAAAAATTTATTCAAAAACTGTAGATATTAGTAGGCATTAGGCAAGTCTGTTTCATTTAGAACTGAATTTTGAGCCTCTATAAACAGATCATATGTTTTCTTGAAATAGAAACTTTATATTGTTAACTAGTAGACACTTGAGCCTTTATTTGTGTCCTTTGCTAAAGAGCGAGGAGAGAGGAAAACACAAGATAAAGGCATTATATGGAATATTCTATTATCATAAAAAAAGTGATTTTAAAAAGTAATTCATTAAAACAAAAATACTGTTGAACCCTATTAAAATACAAGGCATTGAGGTGCAATAGGACACACACATAATGTGTCTGGTAGAGTAGATCACAAATGTTCATTAATAATTGTAATTAATAGTTGAAGGTGAAATAAATATAAGTTGTCTTTGTTTCTAGAAAGGAGGCCTTCATTTGGCTGAGTTTACAGGGAAGGTTTCATAGGGAGGGGTCACTGGGTTTGGGTATTGATGGGTAGGTAAGATTTAGAAATGAATAGATGGGGAAACTGGTATGCCAAATAGTTGAAAGAACACAAATCAAGGCCAGGTAGGAAATACAGGATGAGAACCCTAAATATTCTGGCCCCAACCAGGACTATGTGAGAGTGAGTGGTGTGAAATATAGAGGTTCTATCAAGCCATGGAGAGTCTTAACCATAAACTTTATATATATAGACAGTGGGATGACATTATGGGATTTTGAGCAAGACTTGTATAAGAGTGGGAGAAAAGAGTGGTGATGGGATATCAATTAAAGAGGGTATTTATTTCAATAATCAAGTGATAAAAATATGCAGGTTGAAATGCACAAGTTCCCCTTTTGTGTTTCTTTAGAGTTTCACTTGGTCCTTGTTAGATTGAATCTTTGCAAATATATGTTCAGCTAGATCCCTTTTCTATGTGATCTGTGCCATATTTGCATTTAAGAAATGGTTAGATGGCCTAATCCCCAGGGAACCTGTTATAAGTGTGACCATTCATGAGACCATGACACAGAAAACATTTTGGTTTAGATGGACATTTCTGAAGTCACTTAGAGGACACTCTTCAATCTTCAAACTTCCAATCATACCTGATCTTTCATACTTATGTGACAGCACAGTCTTTAGGACCCTACCATATTTATGTTGATAACTTGGTATTAAACTAGATCTTATTAAAACCACTCATTATACTCAGTATTTATGTATTTTTGTTGGAAGACTGCTTACTGCATAGGACTCATTTTAGATAAGAAATAGTATGGACACATCATGCTATATAATAGGAATCTTCATAAAGTTGTGTTTAAATCATGTGATTTTAAAGATGATCTTAGTTATTGTTTTAGAACTTTTAAGCTATGTGTAGACCTTTCACTCCCATTTTCAAGGGCACTTTTAGGGAAACATTGATGTTGAAATTCCCAAGAGCAGAGTTACATTGTATAATTTTGAAAGTTAATGGAAAAATACTTGGCTTTGGTTAAGAGTCAAAATAATTTGTGATCCAGAATTTGGACCACTCATACACACATTTGAAAATGAAAGTAGATTGGATTTGACAGATTTTTCTTACATTGCTTTTTATTGTGATTTTCCCTCCTACATGCAGTTTTCGATCATGTGATCCTAGTATGTTCTCATTATATAACTCAGGAACAGTATTACCAACAGGAAAACTGACTATAGAAAACTATAAAGTGATGCTTGATTTCCTTCATACAGCTAAAAAAAGAAAGGCCAACCTACCATCAGGTAAAATAAATGTGTTAATATACTATCAAATTGACTTCAGAGTTTTGTTTACTAACACAACCCCCACACACGCCCTATACACACACCATTTTCTAAAGTCCCATCTATTTAGTGGAGTTGTGATATTTTGTGGGAGACTCTTATTTGTTCTATTTCTAAAGAAAATTTCAATAGCTCTGTAGTATCATCACATATATTTGGAAATAGCTAAGTTGTGTTTCGACCTACACCAGTTTGGCTGTTCAATAAGCATGATGTTCTACTGAAAATATTAGTAAACTCCTGGGGCCAAGGTAGGCGAAAATTTGCTCTCAGGTGTTATGTTTTCATAGGCATGTCTTAGAATAAATTTTTACCTAATATACTAATGCAAGCAGAAATGAAACCATCAAATAGATGTTTTATGTTATGAAACCCACACAGGGAAACTCTGGATTCTCAACTGGCACCATCCATGAAAGCTTATTCCAGGGTGGATGTAATAATCTGATGGGAGGACTCGCCAGAGCTGCTGTCTAGTCAGGGGGTACAGAGAGGTGGAAAGACACAGGTGAACAGGATTCTTGATGGAGATGAGGACATTATTCCCAAGCTCTCTTCAGTCTTGAATCCCACTCATTTCACTAATAAAAATCTCATTTCTAGTATCTTTGTGCAGCTACAAACCTCTTATATAGATTTTTAATAATGGCAATTTAAGTGTGGCATCAGTTATTGCTGATCAGGATATTTCATATGTTAGTTGACTGCCCCCAAAATGTCAATTCATATTTGAGATATTTGAGATGCTTTAGAATTTCTTCCAGTGGATAGATTAGTTTTCACTGGTACCTGCATATCATACTATGAATATTGCAGTATGTGAGAATGAATTCCCTAGACATAGAAAGAACCTTATTTTTCTATATAGATTATAATATACAGCCTCTTGAGATTTTTTAAAACTAGCTCCCTCCCTAAGAACTCCCATGAAATTGATAATAGAATATACTATTGAGACATTATTTAATGTAGAATTCTCAGAGGGTTGGGGTAGGAGAAATCCTCTATTTTTTTTAAAGACTTTTTATGCATACAAAACTGGGGTACATACCAGAGGTGCAGGGGTGGTGAGAGGATTCACCAGAGACAGAGCGGGGAGCAGAACAGGCAGACTGTTGAAGTACACTGTTGCGGGGAGCAGTAGGCAGGTCAAGAGAGGTCTGCCACGCCATGTGGATCTCCTCCGAGGCAGAGTGGCTTTAGCTTCTTAGTGCTGTGCTTTAACCCGCTGTGCCACCAGGGAGTGCCTGAAATCCTCTCTTTATATATTACACTGTTGGTATGATATAAAAGTGGCCAGGGCTGCTGTGGGTTGATGTCCCAAGAGCTGTCTGTGTTCTGAGAATGGGCTGCCTAGGGTGGGGGGAATTACAGGACCTTGTCATTATCCCCCCCCCCAAACTTGCCCCTGGGCTTTTTTTTTAACCATCACCCTTGCCTGGACTGTCTTCTTTTCCATAGTCTCTCTGCATAGCTAAATCATGCCCACCCATAAGGCCCAATCTGTGTCCTTCCCTGGTTCATCGTGTCCATGATAATTCTGAATTTATGTAGAAAGTCTTTAATCTGGATTACTCCCTTGGTGCTTACTACCAGCTGTGTTTTGTGAACTCAATTCTCATTATTATTGTACTGTAGATGCTGAAGAATTTTCAGTACTTATAAATTCCAAAATGAGTGATGAAAACATCTCCAAGACACCTATGGCTTATGACTCAGACTCTCAATCAGGTGTTAGTTCTAAGGACAAGGAACGAACAACACCAAGTCTACTGGATCATTTTACCAAAGTCTTCTTATATATCAGGAGAGCCATGGTAATGTGGTCCTTACTCACTGAGGAAGTGACATAAATATCAGCCCATAAGTTCAGAGATGTGTAGCTTATGGGATATATTTCCATACTGTCTAGAATTTTTTTTATTATATTAGTTTATTTTTACATATTTTTGTGCATTTTTCCATCTCAGTTGCAATCCCCTTGGGTTTCCCATCACCAAATCACCCATGAAATTTTTAAAGAATTTATTTATTTATGCATATAAGAGCTGGGGTGCAGGCAAGAGATGCTGGGTGTGGGGCAGTGAGAGATTCATCAGAGACAGAGTGGAGAGCAGAACACGTAGATCTATGAAGTACACTGCTGAGACAGGAGAGGTCTGCCACACCATGTGGGTCACTTCCCTGGCCGGGGATTGAACTTCTGTTGCAGGGGCTGCAGGTAGCTTCATAGAGCTGAGCCTCAATCCCTTCTACCATTAAGGAGGCCCCACCCATAATTTTCGAGGCTGAATTTGCTAGATTACATGCCAGTCATTAATGAGGTTTGTCTGCCACAGTGCTGAGGCCTTAGGGATCATAGAGCTCCTTAATAAATTTAAGCAACACAAGAAAGATCAGTTTTCCTTGCTCACTGCTGCATTTCTACAAGTACAACAATGGGAGTTTGGAGTCAGACCTCAGGTGTGCAAATCCTGTGGCCTTGGGCCTTGTCTCCACTTCCTCACCTGTAACTTGAGTGGAGGACTAGTGGCTCTAACTGGTTACTATTAGAATAAACTAATAGAATGCCTGTAAAGGTCTTAACAGCATCTAGTCCTTGTATATGGTACATACAAATGATGTTCGTCATGTTTATTATTATTATTATGTAATAAAATGATATTTCCAGCAGAGAGCAAGGAAAACTTGCAGGGAAATGAATTTGTTTAGAGAACTGTGACTTTTGGAATGTTGGGGTATTTTGGAATGTTATTTTTTAGGTTCTCGCACATCGTGGTGGCTACTGGACTCTGCTTCAAAACTGCTGTCGAGCCCTTTGGAATTTCACTCAGGAGCTACAGATACTTCTGAAACAGGCAGTGGACCTATATAAAACATTTCCTATCAGCCAGGATGGTTTGCTATGTACTGCTGCTTTGCCATTCTATTTGGGAGCAGACTTACTTATTGACATGTTAGTAGAACTACAAAATGTCAATGCTGTTAAGGTAAGAGCACTTAGGTAATTATTTTTTATTGTATTCATTTAAAAATATTTTTGTACCAGGTATCTTGGGATAACTAGAAATAAATATTTTTCTTTAGTTTTTATTTGGCTCACCGATATTTCATTTGTTTCCCATTATTATTTGGTTCACAATATATAGCTTGCATTGACATTAACTACAGATATCTGATTCTGAAATTCAGTTTCTTACAGGGAACAGAAAGTAACATTTATTAAGCTGCAGTTCTTACATAAAATAACTGTAACATGCTAAATCCCCATGAAATGTTTATAGACTAATATTATTTGGGGTATGCAATTCAGAATAGGGGGAGAAGCTGGCTTGCGTGTGGATTAAACAAAACAGGTCCCGAGAGAATTTTTGAAGCTCAGTGTGCAGATAGGGGTCCTTACTGTGCATATGCTTTTGTGTTAGAAATTTCCTTTAATAATAAAAGGTTAATAAAAAATTACATGTGGCCCATACTAAATCTGCAAACCTTGCATGGCCTTGACCATGTCAGAAACTCTTCTCTACATGTGGTTTGATCCCCCAAAGCTAGTCCTGTTTATTTCTCAGTGTTGCTAAGTGACATTACCAACATTAAGAAGTAATAGCAAATGCTGTTTCTTTCTTCCCCTCTTTTGAGTTGTAACCAGTTGAAAGATGGGTGCTATCTTACTAGTTGGAAATGCAATTCCAGCATTCTTCTCAATGAAAGCTATAGTGGAAGATGGAGTTACCACATAAGATGTCCTTATTGTTCATCCCTGAAATAAACTTACTATAAAGGTGCAGACACTACTGACTGATCGCAGGTCCCCTCTGCTTCAGGGAAGGACCGGGAAACGTACTCAGAAGAAAGAAGGTGCGATCCTGCTGGCAGGAAGTCTCTGCCAGGACGATCCCTGGGGAGCGGTTCAGTAGAACAGGTTTCATTTCCTCCACACTGCCAGGAGGATTGAGTAAAGGCCAGGAGGAAGTCCAGGGTCAGGGAAATGGAGGTAGCCCTCACCTCCAGCTGTGCTGTGGAAAGTCTTGCTAGCGAATCAGTGGGCTCCAGAAATGGAACTCATAACTAAATGGCATGAAGATTATTCTCAAACATTCTACATGCCCCAGGTACTCTGCTAAGGAGACAAATTCACACAGGTCACTTGGAGGACACCTGCTATTCATAGCCTGATCTCAGGTATGTTTATTGCATTTCATACCCAGGTTACGTCCAAATTCGTCTCTAACTTCAAGGACAATGAATCTTCTTAGAGGGGATATTTTTGTTTACCTGTTATTTATTGTTGATACCTCCCTCACCTGTGCATGGGTCACCTGAATTACACTGAGGTAGGAGGGGCAGACTCCTACACTCCTACACTTGACTCCTACACTCTTTATGGGTTAGCAGCCAAGCCCCTGGGTGCATTTAAGAAGTTTTGCTTTGCTTCAAGAATTTCTAGGAGGACCCATAAATGCATAAGGACCTAAGGGGGTGTGGGGGAGAGAATGAACACCTTTGTTACTAAGTAGCTCTTTCACTTGGCCTAAAAGAATCTTCTAGAAAATTTTCTTCTCTTCCGTTTTGATGATTGCCATTTCAGGGAATTGGATATGTTATTCTACAAACAGACTAGTAACCAGTTATTATTCTACAAACAGACTAATAACCAGGGCACTAGTATATGTATATGCTAAAACCTGTTTTTCCTTAAAACTACCTTATTGATAGATACTATCTTTCCTGAAGTATAGATTGTCTGCATAACAAGAAGTAAGACCATAGCGTGTGCTAATATGGTAGCAACAAGCCATATGTGGCTGTTTAACGTTCAACTTAAACGAATTAAAATTAAAAACCCAGTTGTACTCGTCACACTTGAGAGAGTTCAGTATCCACTTGTATCTAGTAGCTACTACACTGAAGAGCACAGAGCTTCTCTCCTCCTTCCCCGCAAGTTATATTGGATAGCTTTATCATGCTTTGATTTGCATAATCACAACATTGGATTTTTTTTTCTGTGCAATTCTCTTCTATGTTATATTTTTATCTACCAATTCAGTTTTTTAAAAAAGTATAATAAAATATGAACTCAAAAATTTTTTTCCCAACATGCTTCTTGCAGATTATTGAAGAAAAGGGCGAGTTCTGTGTTCCAAGCTGCTATGGAAATATTAAAAATGACAACGGAGGTTCTAGCCTAACGTTTGAGCATCCTCTAGATGATGTAAATGTGGTTGACTTGAAATGGATCCATGACTTTGTGTTAAAATCTCTGGAATATTTATATCAAGTGGAAAAATGGGAAACACTAGTATCACTTGCCATTCAGTTCAACATAATTTCACAGTAAGAAATGCTATATGGTCAATTAAAAGTGATAGACGTCATTGGAAAGAAATGTGTTTTAGCAGATGTTTGCTTTTTTATGTATTTTTACCCTCATTTAGTGAGAGATATACGGAGCAAGTGACACCACTCCTGGTATATGCACAGCGCCAGCTTCTGCTGAGAATAAACAAGCTGGATGGTCCTGCTATGATCCAACAGCCATGTGAAAGATACGAGGCTGAGTATGCAGAGAAGGTAAGTTTGGCTGTATCGTTCATGCAGCTGTGATTTCTTATGCGTACACCTCTAAGCTGCAAAGACTTAGAAATCAGATAAAGATGATTATTTTCATTTAGACATCTTTCATTTGAATCAGTACATTGTATTGACAGCCTGCTGTGTGTCACTGTTTTCCATCAACCAGGTAAACAAGCACTAAGTTTTTGTGTAAGAGAAGCTTCTGATCAGGTTGATTTACCTGTTAGGTATAGTGGGGCTCACTCCATGTTTTAATTTTTAATTTCTTATACAAGAAGAAGAAAAAAGTTTTTTTTTTCAGAATTTTTTAATTTATGTGTACAAGAACTGGGGTACAGGCCAGAGGTGCAGGGGTGGCAAGAGGCTTCACCAGAGACAGAGTGGAGAGCAGAACAGGCAGATCCACGAAGTACACTGCTGAGGGGAGCAGTGGGCGGGTCAGGAGAGGTCTGCCGCGCCATGTGGGTCACCTCCGGGACTGGGGATTGAACTGGCACTGAGGCGGCTGCTGCTAGCTTGCAATGCTGAGCCCTTACCCGTTGCTCCACCAGGGAGGGTCGCCAAAAACAAACAAAAAAGGCTTTTAAATTAAAGAGTTTTAATGTTGCAATTACTATATTTATATTTCTCCTGACATAATCATGAAATATAATATTTAATATTCTTATGGAGTAGTCAGCTCATGAAAGTAAAAGCTGCCATGGAAAGCAATGTAGAAGCATGGTGCATCTTTGAGCTAGGGGAGGAAAGAAGAAAATCAGTACTCTCATTTATGAATTTAATAAATATATATTGGTTACCGACTTCAGCCAATGCAGAGTTGTACAGTGTGCTCTTCCCCCGGCACCCTGGGGGTGACTCCGGTCCCTGTCCCATACACCACTCTGCTTGTGGAGCTGCTGGCAGTCAGCAAAGTCTCTACCATGGTGCCTTGTAGCCTAGAGATAGCCCTGCCACCTCGTGTTGTGTTGAGTGAGAATCCAGCCTGTGTGGGTCCTTTATGTTGCTTAATTGTAGAGGGGTGGAGGTAGCGCCAGGCAGTAAACATGGAAACCCATTAATAAAAAGAGTAATGGTCATTGTCAGTTCTGTGAATACAACAAAACAGGTCAATACGAAAGTGATACCTCAGGGTGGAAGGTGGAAACTAGAGCAACAGTGATTTAAGACCTGTTGGATATGATGGTAGCATCTGATGAGAAGGAGCCAGCATTCGGGGAGAAGCTTGTTCTAGCCCAAGGACGAAGAACAAGGGCAGAGGCCCTGAGATGGGACAGATAGAAGGTCTGAATGGCTGGGGTGAAGCAGATGAGGGGGAAACGAGGGGGTTCCTCCTTCTCAGTCTTCTTTGTGGCTTTTTCCTCTTCCCCCCATTTTTTTTTAAAGATTTACTTATTTATGCAAACAGACCTGGGGTACAGGCCAGAGGAGCACAGGTGATGAGAAGATTCACCAGAGACAGAGTGGGGAACAGAGCAGGCAGTGAAGTACACTGCTAAGGGGAGCTGCAGGCGAAAAAGGAGAGGACTGCTGCGCCATGTGGGTCACCTCCCTGGCTGGGATTGAACTTGTGTTGGGGTGGCTGTGGCCAGCTTCCTATTGCTGTGCTTTAGCCCATTGCACCACCAAAGGGCCCTTCTTCCCCACAGTGTTTTACTGCAGCTGGTGTGTCCCAAGACTATTCTTGGTCCTTCTCTCTTCTCTGTCCACTTACCCATTTAGAGTTAATACAGCCTCTGTATTAATGATCTAAGTACCATCATTATGAAGATGACTATTGAAGTGACATCACCAGTCTGACCTTTCTTGTGAATTCTTTGATGTATATTAATAATCTGTATCAGTCAGGTTCAATCAGAGAGGCAGAACTAGTAAAATTATCTATCTATATATCCATGTATCTGTTATCTATCTCTTTCTATACCTACCAGTCAATCACCTATCATTTTCTATCAAGATTGATTTCAATTGACTTACTACAATTGGCTGGCTAAGACAATCCAAAGTCCATAGAGCAGGCAGTCAGGATATTAAGCAGGAAGGAACCTTCCAGGCCTACCAGAAGCTGTTTTTTATAGGTAGTCAATGGGAGGGGAATTACCACTGACCTAAAATGATGTTTAGCATTTGGGATCTCGAAATTTCCAGCTCACCACAGATTCACCTGACTTGGGAAGGCCTGCCATGGGCAATCTCCCTAGTTGAAAGTTGATTTTCTGGGGACTTTATGTAGTATCTGTAAAATCCCTTCCCAGCAGCACCTGGGTGAGTATTTCATTGACTCAGTGGGATGAATAATAGGTCAAGTAGAGCCTTGCCAGGCTGTGGGAAGGATTTTGTATTTTCTGAGATTATGTTTACATCTCATTGTAGAAGTATCTACAAGAGACACTAAAGAATCATAGGATTGAGCGTCAAGGGGAGGTCATATTTTGTACAATAGGTTATTTCAAGAAGTGGGAATAGAGAAATATAAAAGGGCCTTAGACCTTTTAAAGAATTTCTTTCTGTATAAAATATTTTTTCCGGCCCTCCCCGGTGGCGCAGCGGGTTAAAGCACAGCACTGAGAAGCTAAAGCCACTTCCTCATGAGTTCGATTCCTGCCTGTCCTGGAGTGACCACATGGTGCGGCAGACCTCTCCTGACCCGCCTGCTGCTCCCCTTAGCAGTGTACTTCATCGATCTGCCTGTTCTGTTCCCCACTCTGTCTCTGGTGAAGCCTCTCACCGCCCCTGAGCCTCTGGCCTGTACCCCAGTTCTGTATGCACAAATAAATAAATCTTAAAAAAAAATATTTTTTCCAGATATTCTAAAATTTTAAAACTCAATTATCTTTGAGGAATTAAGAATTTTAAATGCTACAGAAGAAGTTAGTTCTCAAAAACTTCACTATGGAAGTTTAAATTGGTTTAATTATGAGTAGGGTAGAAAATCTGCCACTAAAAGAACAGCCTATATTTTAAATATGTTTCAACTTACATAATGGAAGATATATTTAGACGGGTGAATTTACAAAATATCAGAAAATCATATTCTAATTGCACTACATAATTTTCCTAATGCTCTTCCAGCTGCGCTGTACAAAGAAATAAGAAAAAAATATGTATTTGCTTTATTTCCCGAAAGTTCTCATGATTGAATGCTACTCTGCTAGCTTTTATCTGTAACATCATTTGTATCACAGTTTTTTGACAAGCGAAAAATAGATAAACATTTCAAGTAAGCCAAAGTTTTGGCTCTAAAAACCTAACTATGTAATACTTGTTTTCTTTCCTTTTTCTTTTTTAGATAACCTGCCGAAATTTCATTGGGAAGCAACTCAAGGTTAATCCGTCAGCCAAAAAAATGATAGCAGGAAACATCCCAGAAGGCCTACAAAAGCTTATTTTTTCAGGTCAGAATCAATTTTATCTTGAAGCTCTATTTTTTTTTCTTTCAAAGCATAGTTTTCTGTAGTCCTCTGCACGTCAGATCTTCCATAATTAAAATGTTTGCAAAATCTCTTTTGTAGTATTATTTGACTGAAAAATTTCATTTGGTACTGACTCTCTTATATTGCTGTAAATGGTACTGGGGTGGGGGGTTAGAATACATGTTTTTTACTGGCTTACTCTAAAAGTAAAGAACAGAAATAGAGAAAAGGAGAAGGAAAATTGATGCGAAAATATAAAGATAAGACTACTTTGCACTTTTCCCTCACTTTTTAACTCACTTGAGAATTCTTCAAATTGATCTTTTCTATTTTTGGTCTTAACTACTATTGTAACTTCCATTTCTATAATTAGTATAGGTGGGTCTGATATTGACTTTACTGCAGGTAAGCTGGAGGTCTTTTAACTAGAATAAGGAGGAAGGTCTGGGAACATCATGGTTCCTTTGCTTTTAGCTGATAAGACTTCCTGTAATACTGGCTACTCTTGTAGCTTATAGGAACAAGGGTCAAATGAGATGAAAATGGAAATAATGCCTTCTTTCAGTTGCTTTTTTGCTGTGTCTTTGTTTCATTGTCAGAAAGAAATGCAAGTCTTCTCTGATGTGTTGGGATTCTTCCATTTATTTATGATTGATTTTGTGCACGTATGTATGTATATGTGTACTCATTCATGCATTCGTTATCTAGTTAGTCAAGCAGTCATTCGTTCATTCAGCAAATGTTTACTGGGTATCTGCTGTGTTTATATGTCCTACTAAGGACTGATAATACAAAGATGAATGAGACTAAAGGTTTGTTATTTTGGAGTTTATAGCCCACTGAAGAAGATGCATAAATAAACCAGAGATGATAACATAAAGTGATGAGATCTGTAATATCATTGCTGTTGCTCAAACAATAAGGTAACAGCATTTGCTTCTGAGATACCGCACAGAATTTAGTGGCAAGAATGTAAAAGAAGAAATGCTGGGGTTACAAAGGTTGCCAAGAGTTAGAGGATAAAGTATATTAGAAGGAAGGATAAAGAGATCAAGCTTTAGCAGGAGAGCTGAAGTTCTCTAGTTTAAAGGCTCTAAAGAAGGAAAGTGAAACAATGACATTTTGTTCTTTTTTTTAAAGATTTATTTATTTATGAATAGAGAACTAGGGTACAGGCCAGAGGTGCAGGGGCAGTGAGAGGATCCGCCAGAGACAGAGTGGGGAGCAGAATAGGCTGATTGACGAAGTCCACTGCTGAACGGAGCAGCAGGCAGGTCAGGAGAGGTCTGCTGCGCCATGTGGGTCACCTGCAGGGTGGATTTTGAACTTGCACTGAAGTGGTTGTGGCCAGCTTCACAGTGCTGCTCTTTAATCCACTGAGCCACTAGTGAGGGCCCCAATATTTGTGTTCTTGGAAGAAGAGCAGTGGGTGGGAAACCTGTTGCAAGGAGGCCACACAGAATGAAGACAGCATTCTGTTTTCTGTTGCTGAGACCTTGCCTCGCAAGTGAGGATGGAGGCCTGGACAGGATGGAGAGAGATAGATCCCTTCCACCGAACTCGGTTAGATAAAGGAAATAGATGAAGGAGGGCGTTCAAGTTGCCTTGGTTTCTGCCTTGAGTGTGTAGATGGATCTCTTCACCCAGATGGGAAATCTGGAGAGAGGGAAGGTTATTGTAGAATTTGAAAGGACTGGGTGAGAACTGAGTTGAAGGAGTTAGTATGTGACTGTACATACAAGTGAGGCACTCAGGAGAGGTTAGTATATTAGTCACTCACATATCAGTAGTGGTTGAAGTCAGGGGCAGGTCATTCAGGGAGGTATGGAGTATAGGCCTGATTATGTCTTCCTGGATCGCACCAACTTTTAGTCAGCCATGTGCATTGACATGAGTTAGGCAATAAGGCAGTGACAAGCATGTCCAAATCTCACTCCATTAAAACAAGAAAAGGTCGATCTTTTATTCAGTGAGTAAAAACTGAGCTGGTTGATGGACTCCGCATTGTGATGTAAGCTTCCTTGACTGTTTCCAAGACCAGAAAGAGAACATTAAGGTGAGGCTGTAAGGGAGCGCGCAGTGTTTGAAGCCAGACCACCTGTGCATCTACTGTAGGCTTGATGTGAAGGACTTTACTTGGATTCTCTTATTTAATTCTATAAGACCGCCCACAAAAATGTTGTTGTTATGCATTGCATATCAGGCTTTGGTGAATATTAGCTTACCACCACCTAGTGGGGTAGGTTGTTCTCGCCTCAGAACTTGGGGCAGGAAAAGTTATGTCTCTTAGATTCTTTTTTGTATTTTATAATTTTATATTCATGATTTATATGTAAATCACATGCCTGCTCTTAAAGCTGTTGCTTAAAAGTGACACATATCACTTCTGCTGACATTTCATCAGTCAAGCCGCAGAGCTATAGCTAATTTCAAAAAGGCAGGGAGATTGCACTCCTCCTCTAGACCCTGATGAGAAAGAGATGCAGAATATGTGAACATCCTTAATGACTGTCATTGGCGCAAACAGAAGGGCGATATCAGAAAGATAATGGGATGGGGGCAGTATAAAAGACGGGAGTGATACAAACAAGGCCAAGAGTGATGCAAACAAGCAAGCAAGAGCCGAGGAAGAGGAAGCAGTCAGTCAGGACAGATGAGTGCCATACATAGAAGGAACCCACTCTCTGTTGGATCGGACACCTCATTGTCGCTGGCCTTTTTGTTATGACACCTTAGAGCCCTGAGTAAGGTTGGTGACTACTTGTAGGTCTGACCGCCAGCAACAAATCCAGTTATCTCCCCCTATTCATTAAACAATGGGAGTTGCAATCAAAGAGTGGGATGTGTCCTGAATGTGTTCTTTTCTTGACCCTGTCTGTCAAACCTCTGGAGATTGCCAATTTGGGATCCATAGCTCAGAATGGGATGTTTAGTATTCCCTCCACCCTAAAGATCTGGCTATAAATGTGAGAAAATGTGTCCAAAAGTTCTTGTCATTACAGTGGTATCTAGCATTTAAAGGGCACAGGAAAGGGTTACCTAGTGCCATTTTAGACCTGTGTCATTAGCTGCTGTTTAGGGATGCTGGATACAGTGTCAGAAAAACGATTTGATGGCCTGCTCAGCTAAAGTTGCATTTGGACAGACAAGATGGTAGGCGGTGGGATGGAAGGAGGGTGGGTGAGCTGAAGCTTTAGTGGTGTACTGGTTCGGAGGGTATTGGTTCTCAGTGGTGGTGGAATTAGCCAGCTTGAACAATGACTGGAGCAGAAATGCTTGGATGGCTCAAATCTAAAAGATAATCATTTATTCATTTCCTGGACCAATAATTATTTATAATTATTACATATATATGTATGTATTATTACATATACATATATGTATGTATGTATGTATGTATAAAATTTTCCAGGTCAGGAACAATATGCAGTATTCTACAGTGATTAGTATCTTTAATCTTCATAATCTTAGGAGGTAGATATTATTGTGATTTTGCTACAAAGAAGAGAATTAAATGCCACAGTGAACAGTAGACCTGTGATTCGCACCCTGGCCTGTCTGATCGCTAGCATAAGTTTCCCACTGGGCCCCCAGGTTGCCATCATTTGCTCCCTTCCAGGCTAGAATCTCCTCTAAGCTAAAGCACTCAAGAAACAATTTGCTGTTTATTGTGATTGTAAGACAGTTTTTAGGCGGCTGTATAATAGCAGTGAACCATTATTAAATCTTGGCATAACATACAGCTCTTTATGAGATTTCTGGACCTCTGTGGCACATATTTTGGCTGGCACTTGGAACAGATTTTTAGGATGTTGAGCTTTCTTTTTTTTTTTTTTAAGATTTATTTATGCATATAGAACTGAGGTACAGGTCAGAGGTGCAGGGGCAGTGAGAGGATTCACCAGAGTCAGAGTGGGAAGCAGAAAGGCAGATCGATGAAGTACGGTGAGCAGCGGGCAAGACAGAAGTCTGCTGTGTCAGGTGGGTCACCTCTCTGGCAGGGATGGAAATAGCACCGAAGCGGCCTTGGCCAACTTGCAGTGCTGCGCTTTAACCCGGTGTGCCACTGGGGAGGGCCAAGGATGTTGAATTTTTTTAGCACCCTGAACTCAGGACATTAACATGTTTATAAGCATGTTGGGTCTCATGTTTGCCACATTTGCCGCTCTTATAAAGGACCAAGTGTAGTGGATGGTTTTCACATCAGATAGCTGCTTTAGAACATCATAGATTTTCTTTTGGCCTAAGGCATTTGGTAGTAATGCTTGATACCTTTAATTCCTCACCACAGTTATTGCAATGCTCCAGTGCCTAGGAACATTTGGCATTCTCATTATTTAACAGCATTCTACTCTCCCTGTTACTATTTAATAATGCATATGTAATTTGGTATCATCTCTGTAGGATTTTTGAAATGTAAGAATACCTCACTTTATAGATTATTTCTTGTATGGATGAATAACTTGCCTGCTTGTTAACTTCATAGGGGAGAGCACACTCTGTGTAAGCCTTTTATTGTAGCTATTTATGCATTCTGTCTGGGATCTTTTCCTTGAGTTTTGACCTTATTAATATTTAAGTTCTTTGATAGGGTTATTCACTTGCAGATAGGTTGGAGTTTTAAATCTTTGGGCAGATGTGTTTTATAACTGCCTCTGGGTCTTTGGCTGGATAAGCACAAATTTCATACCACTTCCTGGGGTCCTTCCTTGGTGGACTCGCCTCTCAGAAGTCGTTGCATTTTAGTTTTAATGTCTACATTGTTAGAATGAAGAGCATAGTAATTTTCTTTTTCTCCTCCCTCTCCCTTTTTCCTCTTTCTCCTCCATCTTTCTTCCTCCATTTTTCTTCTTTACTCACACCCTCTTCATCCTCCACTTCATCTTCTTTTCCAGCTTTTCCCTTTCCCTCTTCTTTCTCTTACTCCTCTGCCTTCTTTTTCTGAACTATTTCAAACTGTGGAGGCTTTTATTATCTTTGACATAGCATCTTGAATTGTCTATGGAATTTTCCAGATAAGAATTCTCTTGAGGCACAGATGTCAGGATTAGGGCCCTTTATGAATATCTTTACTCATTGCTTTGTATAACTCATGTCCCCTTTGACTCTTCCCCTTCTCCTTCCCTCATACACCCAGGCACCTCTTTTCATTTAAGTATCTGACTTTGTAAGTATCTGACTTTGTCAAATTGGAGGGGATTAATATTTTAATAGGAACCTTTGGCAGCTGTGTTAAGAGCACACAGTAGGAGTTGCCAGGGTAGAAATCGGGAGACTGATGAGGAGGGAGGGTGCAGTGCTTTAGGAGATTATGAGGACTTGGAACGTAGTGGCCGTGGGAGTGCACAGGTGATCTGGGGAGAGGTGGTGCAGTCTGGATAATTCATGTTTCTGTTTTTATTGAGGTGATGTTGATTCAAAACACTGTTTATATTTTGGGAGTCTGTCTATTTTCTGAAGGGAGACCCTACAGTATTTGTCGTGAATTTGACCTGGGGTTTGGGAGAAGAGGAGGAGTCAGGGTGAGGCTAGCATTTGGTCTAAGCAATTGGGAAAATCTCTTCTTCCTTTAATCACTTGGGATTAGTTATGGGAGGAGCAGTCTTAAGGGAGAAAGGTAAGGAAGTCTTCAGTTGGGGATCTGTTAATTTTGTGGTGTCTATTGCCTGCACAATAGAGTAGATCACTGGATAGGATCAATTGAGAAGAGGCAGCTATGAATGGAATACTGGGATTTCCAGTTTTTAAGAGGACTAAGGAGTGATCAGGAAGATTGGAAAAGAAACTTTAAGCCAAGTGAAGGAAGTATTTTAAGCAAGAGGGTGTAATCAACTGAGTCAAATGCTGCTGAAAATATAAACGAGATAAAGTTTAAATTGCACACTAGATTTAGTCACAAGAAGATTCTTGAGGATTTTTGCTCTTATCTTTTCCCTCATGGGCTGATCTCTCTCTTCCATCTTTTCTATCATTTTAATATGTAACCAGATACTCTATTTCACAGCTCCCAAATGTCTTGGAATTTCCTAAGTGTTGAGAATAATAAAACTGTCCTTTATGGTGTGAATGAGGTAACATTGTGGGACCAGCTAAAGGTGAGGGCCTATTGTCTGGATAAGCAAATATGTGATTGGAGGGTTGGTTGAACTTCTGGGGAGGGGAAAGAACTAGAGGCGGAGTTTAATTGCCAGCGGTCAGTAAGTTCATCAGTCATGGCTCTGTGTCGTGAAGCCTCCATAAAATCCAAGAAGGGTGGAGAGCTACTGGATTGTGAAATGCAAATAACTTCAGACCTTGTCAATTTTCCTTAGAAAGAAGCCGCCTACTTTTTCTTCCGCTGATCCACACAACATGTGGAGTGCTGGGAGAAGGCGCAGGAGCTATGCCGTTCCCCTTACCTTGTCTTTCATTTTCTAGTTGCTCCAGAATAATATCTAATTATTTAATAATTAGACATAGATAAAATATCTATTTTTGATACACTGGTGATCTAGTGTTAAGTGGGTTTTCTGAGTTCTGTGAGCCATTCTAGAAAATTAATTGCAACTGACTTAGAGCTGGTGAGTGGAAGCCCAGCTAACACCCTGGGCTAGCTCTGAAGCAGAAGGTAGTCCTGGGAGGCTGAACCCTTAACTTGTGGGGTCTGCTGCTGTGTCCAGGTGGGAAGTGGAAGAATTGAACAAAATGAATTCTTGGACACCTGCTGGTGCCAGAGAATTACTTGTTGGTGTGGAGAAGCCTCCAAACACACTCACGTGGAAAATGATCTAGGGACACCAACACCAATTTCCACACCCAATACGGCCCCGTATTTCTTTACTCTGCATCCTCCAAGACTGAAACCTGCCCTTTTCATCTCTCAAGAGAGTAGTTGCCCACTTCTCAAGCTTCTTTGTTGTTTCCTTTAGTCTCTTTCCCAAGGCACCCTCAGCTTTGAAGCAGCTGCTGAAAGGAGTAGATTATTTTATCTTTTATGATCAGCGAAAGAAAAAGTAGGTGGCTTCATAAGGAAAATTGGCAAGGTCTGAAGTTATTTGCATTTCATAAGAATCAAAAAAGTTTTCTAAGTTTTTTTTTTGTTTTTTCTAGAGAACTTCCCTCTATACCAAGAAAAATTGAGTGGAATGTTGCAACACCTGCTGGAGACCTGGGGGCTTTGAATTTAGCAGCTCAGTCTAGGGCTAAAAAATTCTCTGAATTAGAATTTTAACATGTAACCGGATAGTCTCTACATTATAACTCCCAAATGTCTTGGAATTTCCTAAATGTTGAGAATAATAAAGCTGGCTTTCATGATGTGAATGAGGCGTTGCTAGCTGGCTTGCTGCAGTACTTCATGGCCAGTGTTATTCTTTGCTTTTATTTCAGAATATAGCCAAGCCAAAGAACACATGTGTGTGCCCTTGGATGTAACAGACACCTTAAACTGTTTTAGAGAAACCTTGGAAAAATCCAGATATCATAACAGGTCAATCCGACATAGCAGAAAGTTGCTTTCATTACTTCTTGCACAGACACAAGGTAACATATTTGCAGTATATACCTTATCCTTTCTTTGTGTGGGGGAGTCACTCTGTGGTCTACCCTGTTCTGCCATAGGGTCCTCCCTTCACCCACTCCCAGCTGCCTTTCACTTTCTTCTTCTTGTCTAAAAGACTCTGTCTTCTCTGTCTCTCACACCCGAATCCAACCAAGGCAGTCTCACTAATCATGGGTTCGCTGAAAGCAAGTAGAATAGATATGAAATAATATTTGCTAATTTTTGATCTGCATATCTGTGTTATATATATTTTTAAGAATGCTGCTGTCATCTTGTTTTATTTTCACAAGTAGATAAATTGATTTATACTCTGTTAGGTGGTATCTTTTGCCAAAACACTACTTTATCAGTGTTAAGGAGTTGGATACATTTTATCATAAACATCAACATGATTTGTTATTTATATCATGGAGATTTTGCTTAGCTTGAAACAAGATGTTTACTGCAGTTGGTTACATTATATTTATTCATTTTCTCCCTTTTCAACATCATTGATTTGTGAACTCAGTCAAAATAGGACTTTGAGTTGTTAAGTGGTACCTAAAAGAAGAAGATTATATTCAAATCCAGGCTGGGAAAAATCTGTTTTGGGTTATTTAAAATTTTTTAATCCTAAATTATGTTTCTAACCCTTGCTATACAAATTTATTAGAATAACAATAATCGTAAAGAATAAACTTAAATCACTACACATTAAAACCAGATTAATACTTATACTTAAGATTTGTTCAAGATTTCCATGGAGCTCATCATTGGGAAATTTAACCAACCTTTTTTAAAATCACCATTCAGAATATTTATTGTCCTTCTCCCCCCCAAGCTGTGATATGTACCCTACCATTTTGGGTAGTAGTGTTCATTATACTACCTCTCTCCATCATGTTTGAACTTTTTAAAATTGTGGAATATACCATACAGCTAGGGCCCTGTATGAAAACAGCAAATACAAAGCCCAGGAATGATTTACAACAACTCACTCTGACTCTCACCTGATAGCAAAACATTCTCAACAGTCTGTCCCCAAACCCTGGGCTGTTGACTTCAAAATCCATATTTTCACTCTTTGCTGCTTTTGACAACTTCCCCTAGAATCCGTTTCCTTTTCTAGTGTGTGTTCCCTGATGCTACAAAGAGACACTTCTTTCACTTTATTCCCTCCTTTAGGTCAGAACTACTTATTGTTGCATCTCTCCCTGAGGTCTCTGCCCCAGAAGCAAACTAACATCTTACTGTTGGAACTGTCTAAAAAAAGCAAAACCAAACTGTGACTTTCACCTAGAGAGTCTGAGTCATCTCCACATTTCCTTTCTGTGAAAGACCCTCTGCAGCGCTCTTTATGATATAAATGAGTAGAGGGCCCACGCACACCAGAGTTCTTCAGAAATGATTCTGGGGACTAAACTTAAGGAAACAAAGGCCCTCACACTACAACTAAGTTTCAGACTACTTGTAAATGTTCCCTTTTTCTGGGCCTCCCTGATAACGTGGGGTTAAGTCTCAGCATTATCTAGACTATCACTACTAATGTTTTAGTTTGATCCCCAACCAGGCAGGGCTCAGCAGACCTCTCCTGTCTCACCCCCTGTTCCTCTCAGCAGTCCATCTGTCTGTTCTGCCCCCCACTCTGTCTCTGGTGAATCCTCCCACTCCTGTACCCCAGTTCTTCTATGCGTAAATAAAAGAAACAAAATCTTTTAAAAAAATTTCCTTTCCATCATCGTCTATCTTTTCCCTCCTCATTAACTTACTTTCAAATTTCTTTTTAATTTTCTAATGAATTTAGGAGACAGAGCAGTAAACAATTCAAAATTTACTAGTGGAAAGGTGGAATTTTGCCTGGGAACTGAAGAGATGCATTTGCCAACTCCCCCTGACCTTTCTCAAGAACATTTCAGAGTTTTTAGTTCTGTGGAGAAAAGCAAACTTCCCTATTCACAACTTGGACTCGTGATTTCTTCTTATCATGCAACTATAGGTAAGATAATTTTTCTCTATATTTACATCGTCAATGTGGTCCTTCACATTGTTGAGATTTCCCTTAGCCCTGGTATATTTAAGCACGGAGTGAAAGCATTTAAACAGAATCTTATGGTCATAGCCTGTAGAGGTTGACAGGGTGGTGTGGAGACAAGATGCCACTCTCTCACATGTTGCTCTTTCCCCAGCTCAGCGGTCCCCATTGCAACATTCTAGGCCACTCGCTGTCCATCTGTCCTTCACTGCATCTGTGAGCTGCTTGTCAGAATGTGCTCACCCTTGAGTCCTTTGCTGTGCCCAGCTGGCTCCATTTCCTTGTCTCTCTGCTTCATCCGTGACTCTACAGATCAGCAGTCTGCACACAGCCTAGTGGTAGAACAAGCTTCTCTCCTTTCCAACAACAAATAGTTTATAATTCTCCTTTTACTTCCCAAAATAAAATGTATACTGAATATATATTTTTCTCCACACACATTGCTTCTGAAAATCAATATGAAGCCCTAAACCTGAAATAAAGAAAAAATAAAAATAGCTTTATAAAAAAGGAATTGATTCTTGAAGGCCTAGAAGGTGTACTGAAGGGATCAGAAACTCACATCATGTGGCCAGAATTTTCTCCCCACGTGACAGCTGGGGATGTGGACAGATCCAGGTGACTGCCTTGGTGACTCAAGTGCTGTTTGCATGCATTTTGGTGGTGTGACTTTCTAAGGTGGGAAATAAATCTAGATGAAGTAATGAGAAAAATATAGGTACTGCAGGGCTTGTATTTCTGGAAAATTCAGAGCATTTTGAAAACATACAAAAATACCTATTTTATGTGTAAAATGCAGCTAGATGTTAGACTCAGATCATTATAAGCAGGTCTCTCATCTTTTTCTTCACTGTAGGGGAAGGTTCTGTGCATTACAGGTGACCGAGTATCTGGGATCTTCACCTATGAGGCACCAGGAAATGCCCCCTGTGGCCTCATGGGAAGATTCTTTCCACAGATTCTTGAAATACCCTCTAGGGGGCAGTATTGCCCTCATGAGAAACCACTGCCACCAACGTTGAAATTTTGTGGTGCATTAATTGCATTAATTCCACTCTTACTTGCTCCATAAATTCAGACACAATTAAAGATGTGCTTCTTGCATTTGAATAAAGGTGCAAATCTGACATACGGTGTTCTTGTGGCATCCCTGCTTCCCCCAAACCTTCCCACCGGCTGCAGCCCATTGTCCACATTTCTCCATAAGTAATTCAGAGGCCTCCATAATCTAACCACTACTTACTTCCTCCTTCACCTTCCCATGAAAACCTTACGGCAGCCACACATCAGAACCACATACGTCCAGCCCTTCTCCTTGCATGCTTTTCTGAATTTCTTTCTCAACCATCTCTTTCTGCTAGATTCTTACTGCATTTTCCCTGTTTCCTACCTGTTAGATTCAATCTCTCATTCCACTATGTTCAAATAGATCACTGTTTGCTCTCTTTCTCTCTCTATATCCTGTGACATTTGAAGGCACTATTAGCTTGCCGTTTTCTTATCTACACAGTTAAGGAATAATGTAGTTTAAAGTATTCTTGCAAATATAAAGGAAATATTTCCCAAGAACTGACATTTGTTCTTTCACTTGATTAAAAATACAGATGTTCTCCAAGCCAGCAATCAAAGAGGCCTTAAAGTTCAGGCACTGCACGAACTTGGAAGTCTTCTCATCTTTGCAGGAAAGAAAAGGTAGATTTTTAGGAGATGATAGAACTAGAGAAAACTTTGTTTGACAAAAAATTTTAAATTACTATGAAAAAATAGTTTGTCTTTCCTAAATTTTAGTTGTTTGGCAATAATATTGCATGGCTATATTTTATTCATCAAATGCTCCTTGAGAACACAGTGATGAGCACTACACGGTATAGATTTATTCTCTGATATTTTCATTAAAATGTTGACTCAGTACATTTGCTTTCCCTCTCGAAAGATAGATTTGATAACAAAGGCCTCAAAAAATGAGCTGCCTTGTGCTGTTCCCACTTTAGGGCTGCTTTCAAATGTTGGTCTCAAGCTCTTGATGACATATTCAGAAAACAGGACGTGCTGCATACATGGAAGGAGCTCGGTGCCTTGCTCAACAATGCCTCTGACACCAATTCACCTTCAGGTTTGAAAGACTACAGTGAGGAATTTCTGTTGAAAGTCGGCATTTGGGGATGTTTGCAAGGAGCCGTCATTGCAGCCAAGATAGCACAGTGAGTGAGCAATGGAGTGATGTGTATACCACTGGAAGCTTCCCTCCAGGGAATGCCCGTGTGCAGGATGTGTCCCAGGCCTCACTGCTGAGTCTGGGGCCGCGCAGTTCATCTCACTAGGGGGATGCTGTTTACTAACTAGTCATGTATATGGCTTATGACCTTCTCCTCCTGTAACACCCACCCTGGGAATATAAATGCCACCTGGGCACATATTTATTGACTAATGCCTGGCTTGGAGTTGGCATTCAATAAACATTAGTTGGTTACTTGAGCAAGGGAGTGAGCAGTTGGTATGGGAGCAAGAATAACTCTTCGGCTGGCGACTTGAGTAGATCCAAGCATCTTGTTAACTCTGACCTTCAACAAACTCCGCATTCTCTCAGAGTCTCAGTGCCCTCTGCTGTAATCTGTGATGGTGAGAGTTACGTGACGTATTGTCATAATCTTCTGAGCTGTCTTCACATGGTTGGATAGACTGGGAAGCTTTAACACCAAGAATTTATTTCTCACAATTTTGAAGGCAAGAATTCTGAGATCAAGGTGTTGTCAGCGAGCCTGGCTTCTTCTGAGGCGTCTCACCTTGGTTTGAAGCTGGTTGTCTGCTTGCTGTGACCTCTCGCAGTCTCCCCTCTGAGTCTGTGCCTCAGTCTCCTCTTATAAGGACAGCAATCATTTCAGATTGGGATCCACCCTGTTGACCTCACATTAACTTAATTACAAGATCCTCTTCTCCAAGTACAGTCCTATTCTAGGGCAAGAGAGGGAGAAGCATAATTTAGCCTGTAAGACACACTCTATTAGTTTCCTATTACTGCAGCGACAAATGACCACAAATTTAATTGCTTAAAACAACACAAATATATTAGGGAGGCCAGAGGGCTCAAAGATTGATGAGTTGGGAGGCTTTGCCCTCTCCAGAATTTCTAGGGGAGAATATTTCCTTGCCTTTTCCAGTTTCTAGAGGTCTCCTGTATTTTTTGCTTATATTGCCTTGTTCTTCCTTTAGAACCAGCGACCTTTCTCTCTCCCATTTCTGCTTCCACCCTTAAATCTCCTTCTCTGACTCTGTTGTCTTTCTCTTATAGGGTCCATGATGATCGTATTGAACCCACCTGAATAATCCAGGCTAAGCTCCCATATATAGGTTCTTAATCCTTCTTTCCATAGAAAGTAATGTCCTCAGGTTTGGGGGGTTAGGACGTAGATACCAGGCTGGGGCATTATTCAGTCTACCACACATATGCCACAGTGTCATATACAGAGTTAGTGTTCCCAGGGAGCTCCAGTATTTGATTACTGTGACAGGGGGGGGTGGCGGTACAGGTTTTCCTCACTTTTCCAGGTCCACTTTTAGGTTGCCGAAAGCTTATGTTGGGCGGACACTGGTGTAGTAGTATTTTGAGCTGCAGAGTAAATTTTCCAAAATGATAATTTATATGAGTTAATAGTTACATGTTTTCAGAAAATCAGCATCATTGGGCAGTGGGAGTAAGAAATTAAAACATATTAAACATTGAAGACTTTTCTTAACCACTGTCAATTTGATCTGTACTCCTGGGGAAGAATTCAAATTTACACACACACACACACACACACACACTCTCTCTCTCTCTCTCTCTCTCTCTCTCTTTCTCCCCTTGCCACAGATATGAGCTTGTGACTAAGTAGAACTTGGCAACATATAATAGAAAAGCTGCAGAAGGCTCACAGCTTGACAAAGAACACCTACAGCGTTCCTGCCGGGGGGCATCTCAGCTTCTCTGAGCCTCTGGAGTTATTTCTTAGTGATTTTCAACCACCAGAGAGTCATTTCCTGGTTCTGCAGCGGGAAGCCTGACTTGCACAGGATGGTGATTCCACAGGGGCTGTGGCTGTTCCCAGGGACTCCCTGAGGAAAAGAAACTCTCTTCACTGTTGAGAAGGGCAAGACATCACACTCATGTCTCCACGTGGAGAAGCTGTGCTCTGTCATTGTCATTAGTATAGCAAAGATGAGGTGACTAGTTTTTTAGAATGACTTTATTTCTTTATGCATACAGAACTGGGGTACAGGCTAGAGGTGCAGGGGCAGTGAAGATTCACCAGAGATAGTGGGGAGCAGAACAGGCAGATAAATGAAGTACACTGCTGAGGGAAGCAATGGGGGAGACAGGAGAGGTCTGCTGCGCCATGTGGGTCACCTCCAGGGCTGGGATCGAACTTGCACTGAAGCGGCTATGGCCAGCTTGTAGTGCTGCGTCCTAACCCATGGTGCCACCAGAAAGGGCCCGAATTGACTAGTTTATCTAAATAAGATTCTTCTGAAGGTAATGTGTATTATAGCCACCATTTGCTGTATGACCTCAGATGAGTTAATAGTTTTAACACTCAGTGATATCACCTATGAGCTAGTGCTTCCTTCTAGGGGTGGGTTAATTAGGATTAAATGAGTTTATGTTGATAAAGCATTTACTTGTAGTGTCCAACACAAAATGGCTCTCAGCAAATTATAAGTTAATATGATGATAGAATTCATCCCAGAAATAAATATGTCCAACTACCATGCAATTTAAAAGGCCCATAAAATGATGAAAGCATTTAAAATTACAATGTGGATTATGAGTTGCAAATGCAAGGTTCAAGCCCCTATAACAAAAGCTCAAACTCTTTAAGGGTCATGAAACAGAGGTAGCCAGTGGAAGATACTACTTTCATCTTTGGAGGAGAGATTGATCTATTGGTTCATATTATCCCCATAATGAGAAGCCACCTTGTTTCAATATTTTGGAGGGAATTACTTTTCATCGTTAAACTGTGCACTTCTTTTTCCTAGAAAATTCCTTTTACTAAGGATTGAACTTGAGGAATTAGTCGCCAAAGTTCTCAAAAATGTGGGGAAAAGGATGTTTCGTGTCTATTTTAAGTGTTAGAGAAATCAAAATGGAGATTAATATTTTTATATTAGGGTTCACCCATATGATAAAAGATGAACATTCTGTAAAATAATGATGTAGCTCATTATGTCCACCAACAGAAAATTTATTTAGAAAAAGTGTCTATTGTGGGCCCTCCCTGGTGGTGCAGCAGGTTAAAGCACAGCACTAAGAAGCTAAAGCCACTTCAGCATGAGTTCAGTCCCTGCCCCGGGAGGTGACCCACATGGTGCGGCAGACCTCTCCTGACCCACCCGCTGCTCCCCTCAGCAGTCAGTCAGCCTATTCTGCTCCCCACTCTGTCTCTGGTGAATCCTCTCACTGCCCCTGCACCTCTGGCCTGTACCCCAGTTTTGTATGCATAAATAATAAATTTTTTAAAAAGAGAAGTGTCTATTGCACAAGTTAGCCTGTAAGAGACACTATTAGTTTCCTATTACTGCTGTGACAATTATTTCCAGTCTTACTAATTCTAGTCTTACTAAGTGTGGGTAACTAAATATAGAATCAATCTAGAAGGAAATTGGCCAGAATCCTGTTGAGGTGGTAGAATTGCAGGTGATTTCTCCTTGGTCTGTTCCCGCTCTTCTGTGCTCTATATTGTACGAGTCTGGAACTCCTTCAGAATCACAATGACTTTTTTGGAAAGCCTATGAGTATTCATAGTATTTACATTTGTGTAAAAATATTTTTGGAAATTATCCATGAATCAGTTTCTTTTTCTTATGCTTTAGGTTTATTAAGACATTGGATGTTGAGAAGAGGACCAACTGTTGCCTTTTCTCTGCATTACTTTTTCAGGTAATACTTTATGTTAGTCTTTCTGCAGGAGCGGGACTCTCCATTCGGTCAGTCAAAAAAAGAAAAGAGCACAGAGTGGATCATCTTTGAAAATTCACACCAAGGAAAATAGCGTGAACCTTGATTAAATATCATAAGCTTGATTAAATATCATTGACTGAACCTCTGTGGCACGTTCATCTTTAACATTCAGCCAAGCAAGTTTTCTCCTCTAGTTCACAGATGAGGAACCCCAGTCTCCTGTCATTAGTGAGACTGTGTCGCTCAGTGAGAAGCAATGCCAGTCTGTGTGTCTCCAAATGGTTAGGCCACCTCAGCCCTCGATAAGTCTTGCTCAGTTGTGTGATGTAAACAGGACTGTGGAATGTAAGGAAGAATGAAATAGAGTGTGTATAGTCCTTAGGATTTTTGTTTGACTTTACTGAAGAAGAAAGGAGCTTTCCTCTGGCATACCAGATGTTTTGAAATTCCCAGAGGTAGCTTGAGGCCTTTGCAACCTACCAAAGTTTCTGTTTACTTTGAAGGGTGGACACCCTTGTTCTGTGTCTCACATACATCTGAGAGCTTATGAATCTAGATAAATTTTTTGGAAACATCTTTGTATGTAAGGCCAAACATTTTAGTGTTCTTATATTCCATTCACCGCTTGCCAGTGCTTCAGAGGCAAGTTACCCGAAATTCTCACAGCTGCTAATATTTTCATTGGGTATACTGATATGCACAAGTAAATGCCTGTGGTACTTTTCTGCATGGCTATCAGCTTGTTTAGATAATGTTTGGGAAATGTGTGAAAATACACAATCTAACCGATCAGGCAGGAGGGCAGATATCAACGACGGCTGGAATTGTGAAGCCTGCTTTCCAATTCTGTTTAATTAGAGGGAGCACTTTCTTGTAGGGCCGTTTAAGAAGGCATTTAGGTGCCCCAAAGCAGGTGACTGTATTAAAAAGTTTTGGTACATATACACAATGGAATATTACTCAGCAACCAAACAAACAAAAAAATAAACACATACCTTTTGCAGCAACATGGATGGAGCTGGAAAAGATCATACTTAGTGAAATAAGCCAGAAAGAAAAGGAAAAATACCGGATGGTTTCACTCATAGCAGGAGTACAAAGGACCAGGGGAGAATATAATAATAATAATGAACAACTATATACCACAGACATTTTATGGGGGTGGAATTGGATCAAAAACAGCAGGGGAAGGAAAGTGCACTGGACTATGGTGATGGCACATGGGTGATTTGGTGATGGGAAGCCCACAGGGATTACAACTGAGATGGGAAAAGGCACAAAATGATGTAAAAACAAACTATTATATTATTTTTTAAAAGGCATTTAGGAATAGGCTCTCTCAATTTGGGGAACTAGATCACATATAAAAGGCGGGTGGGTTTTTTGTCTCTGTGGCCTTCTGACCTCATCCACATGGATTCAGAGGGATGGTCACAGCACTCCAACTCCCCAGCTTCCACTCTTACTTTCTGACATGCCTTACTCTAGAAGACAGTGCTGTTTTTACTTCAGAAAATCCATGATGTAAAAATACAACTTTTTACTTCATGCGGGAGTATGACAATATGTCACTTCTTTTGATAATTTTAATACAGAACTGGGGTATAGGCCAGAGGCTCAGGGGTGGTGAGAGGCTTCATCAGAGACAGAGTGGGGAGCAGAACAGGCAGAGCGACGAAGTACACTGCTGAGGGGAGCAGTGGGCGGCCAGGGGAGGGCTGACTCACCATGTGGTCACCTCCAGGGCAGGCGGGGATAGAACTCATGCAGAAGTGGCTTTTGCTTCTTTGTGCTGTGCTTTAAACCGCTGCGCCACCAGGGAGGGCCTCTTTTGATAACTTTAAAGGAAATTTGTAAAATTGAAAATGCAAACAACTACATAGTATTTGAGAGTAGGATGCCTTATAATGCTAGTGGGAAATCTGCTTAAAACTCGATAAATGCATTGAAAGAATTTTATAATGCATTTGTTATCAAGAAATGTTAATTATTTTAAATAACATAAGAAATGCTCTAAATGTAAATTTTAATTCAGTGTATTCATCTTGTTTCCACAAAACCTAGTCTAATATTGGTCATCAGAAGCACTTATGGAGGACTGGTGGCGTTAAGTCATCTTTTCCTTTAATTAGTTGAAAGTTCAGATTTATCTCTGCCTAATTTAGACTTTTGAAAAAGACTTCTCTGCTCATAGCTTGCTATAAGGTAAAGAATATAGATTTTTTTGAGTTAAATTGATATGAATTTGAATTCACTTTCTGCTACTCTTTGCTTATGACCTCAGATAAGTTAGTAATTTAAGACTCTGATATTATATATGAGATAATTCTTCCTTCTAGGGGTGGGTCAAATGAGGGTTAAATGAGGTACTGTTTAAAAGGCATTTACCTCTAGTGTCCAACAGAAAATGGTCTTCAACAAATTGTAACTAAATATGATGAGAATTCATTCTAAAAGTAAATATATCCAACTACCATGGAATTTAAAAGGCCTGTCTGAACAGATTAAAGCATTTGAAAACTGCAATGACAATAACGTTAATGATAAGTACTGACTTTTTACAGTGTGTGAGGCATGTGATAAGCACTTAGGAAGAAACATGTGTACCCATTTTTGTTTCATGGTTGCTGATAGATTTATAGTTCTTGACTTCACTTTTTTTTCATTTTCAGGGTTTGCTTAGAACTACACTTCCACACCCCAAAGCTGAACGTTGCTATGCTCAGTATGAAATCACTCAGCTTCTTCCAGGCATTGAACTCTTCTCTGATAGATACAGAGCTGACATCTGCTCTGTGGTTGCAAGTCTGTATTATGTTATACGCGAGCTACACTTTGTCAAGCGAAATCTCTTAGTAAGTAATTTGTAAAATCAAGAAATCTTAATTCACTATGGAATTTTTGGCTCTGATTACCTTACACATTTTAAATTTTGCTATTTTTTGGGGTTCATTCTTAAACTCTGTTAGGATTCTTATCTATACTTCAAAACAAAATGTCAATATTCTTTTATTGACATTATTGTTTGCATTGCATTTTGGATATAAAAGCAATCCCCCCCCCTTTACTCTTTGTTTCTTTTTTCGTAAGAACTTTGGTGAAATTGGTAGAGGTGTTAACTGGTCACAGAGGAATATAGTGTACATGTAACTCAACTCATGGTATTCATCATGCAATAACAAAAGTATGAGAGTATTTCTTTATTGAAGTAAATTTAGCATTGTGTCTCCTGTATTTTCTCTAAGCATGTTACTAAGTGAATAACATATTCTAACTGAAATAAAAGACATTTCTTAACATCTTAGCAAATGCAAACACCCAAATATAGCCCTCTTTTCTTTGGGGAAAAAAATCCAGCATATATCATAAGTTTGAAGTTGGTTGCAATATAACAATAAATTAATGTGCTCCAGCTGTTGGTCATTTTATAATTCTGCTTTATTTTAAAATTCTCTTCCCTGGTGCTACTTTCTCTATTTTCTTTTTTTCTCTCCCCACCTCCATGTTTGCATTTATTCTTTCTCTTTTTCTGCTTCTTTCCTGTTCCTCCACATTTTTCATAAAATAACCCCCCCCATACATTGTTTTCTGTTCCTCATTACAGATTTACTCTCACTTGTTACAAGATTTATTGGCTCCTGTTGTAAGTTGTTAAATTATAAAGCCATGTGTTCAAGTGAGGAGGTTGATAAGTGCTAAGAGTTGACAGATTTGGGCAAGAAATTGTTTATTAGGGAAAAAAAAATCACAAAATGGTTCTTCCCATTGTTAAAGGGGGTTCATTTCTGGATTTAGAAAATAGTTAATTCCTCTGGGTAACCTTTAGCCACCCAGTTGTATTCATATATAATACATATTACTATCTTAGAAAATAAATGAGAGCTCTTTTCTCTGAAGCTGAGAGCTTTTTTTTTTTTTTAAATTTATTTATTCGTACAGAACTGGGGTATAGGCCAGAGATGCGGAGGATGAGAGGATTCACCAGAGACAGAGTTGGGTACAAAACAGGCAGATCGACGAAGTACACTGCTGAGGGGAGCAGTGGGCGGCCAGGGGAGGGCTGACTCACCATGTGGTCACCTCCAGGGCGGGGATCGAACTCATGTGGAAGTGGCTTAAGCTTCTTTGTGCTGTGCTTTAGCCCACTGCGCCACCAGGGAGGGCCCAAGAGAGCTTTTTTTTTTTTTTTTCTGAACAACTGAGCAATTGGCAGCAATAAAATTGGTCTGTTTTTATTTCTCAATGAAAAGAGAAATTAAATATCAAGGCAATAGACTCTCTTTTTGTTTTGTGGTACATTAATTATAGAAATAGTTACTGTAAAGTTGCAGTTTGTAATTGTAGAAAATGTTAGAAATCATTTAAGACCAGTCCTTCTAATCCTTTTTAAAAATCTGTTCTCTTGCCAGCTGATTGACAGGAACTTCTTAGCTAGTCTTGCAAGATATAAGCAGTTTGTGTTTTGTATTGTGCTAATCTCAAGAAGTCCAGTGGCTAAAGAGATATTGGACACATAGAAAATTTCCTATGGGGTACATTGGTGTGGCATGATGGGAAACAGCTAAATATTTAATGGGGATCCCAGTGATCTCCTTGGCTTATTTCTTTTTGGTGGGGCAGGACCCTGCTGCAGGAACTGAGCTTCAGTGTTGAGTTGAGATCAGGCAGTGCTCAGAAGTCTGGCAACCCTGTCACATGAAAAGTTTAGATTTCAGATATATACTTTAGAAAGGAAAGAGTTTCTTAGGTTTCTTAGAGTGCCTGATACAAAATAGACATGTTATATATATATTTTTTGCTGCAAGAGATATTCTTATCAAAGACAAGTGACAGCTGATATTGAGGACAATCAAAGGACTTGAATATGAGTTCTTCTGCTTTAAATTTTACATTTATATGATATCTCATTTGGTAGAATTTTTCCAGAGGTCACAGTGATTCAGGCATATATGTTGACTTAATTTTTTAAAAAAAGATTTATTTATGCACACAGAACTGGGGTACAGAGCAAAGGTGCAGGGGCTGTGAGAAGATGGGGAGACAGAGTGGGGAGCAGAACAGGCAGACTGATGAATTACACTGCTGAGGGGAGCTGCAGTTGCCGACGGTCAGGAGTGGTCTGCCGCGCCATGTGGGTCACCTCCGGGGCGGGGATTGAACTCATGCTAAAGTGGCTTTAGCTTCTTAGTGCTGTGCTTTAACCTGCTGTGCCACCAGGGAGGACCCCTGACTTAATTTTTTTTTTTAAAGAAAATAACTAAATGGAATTACACTTAAAAATTCATTTTATTTTCCATACTTACATAGTTGTAAAACTTAGGATTGGGTGGAAAGTGGTATCTATTTGAAACTAGAAGTCCCTGACAGCACTTTACAATTCTGATAAAATTATGAAGCTGTACGCTAGACCGATCATTTCATTTATACCATACAATATAGTCTCCTATAAGGGAAAAACACTCTTTTATATAATACCTCCTATATTTAATTTTGGCTAAATTTTATTATGTATTGACTTGGTAAACTATGGTTAAAAACTATTTTTTTTTCTTTTGGTAGACTCTGCCTCTCCTTGCATTGTACCAGTATTTTGTCTCAGGGATTTGCCAAGACCTTGTCAGAAATCTAGAAGCAAGAATTCTCAAGGTATTTATAGTCTTTTAAGTCATTCGATAATCTCTGTATGTTCAAACACTGACTTGTATCAGGTTGAACACCTGAGACTGATGTGTTGTATATCACACATTGATATTCTTAAATGTATGGCAGTGCCATACATTAATTCAGTTCTAATATGCATAATAATATTAAGTCTAATTCATTCTAATACCCTTAACGGTAATAAGTGGATAAGATAATGCTGTACTGATATAAGAAAATAACTTACCCATTACTCTAATTAAGAGAAAGAGCCAGTTAGAAAGATCTGCATTTTTATACTTGGACCACAATAAAGTTAGTGCAATCACACCAGGCAACAAGGTGTGAGCCTGGAAATTACCATGTCTGAGAGTCTGGTTTCCTGGTAGAAGACATTGGGTCAGTTTTCTGAGGTTTCTATGAACTTATTGTTAAGGATCTTTATGTAGATCATTGCATACAAGAATTTTTTTTCTTTCTTTTTTTAAAAAAAGATTTATTTATTTATGCATACAGAACTGGGATACAAGCCAGAGGTGCAGGGACAGTGAGAGGATTCACCAGAGACAGAGTGGGGAGCAGAATAGGCAGATCGACGAAGCACATTGCTGAGGGGAGCAGCAGGCGGGTCAGGAGAGGTCTGCTGCGCCATGTGGGTCACTTCCTGGCCAGAGATGGAACTCGCACTGAAGCAGATGCGGCTCGCTTGCTTGCGGTGCTGTGTCTTCACCTGCTGTGCCGCCAGAGAGGGTCCACAAGAATTTTTCGTGGCTCAAGAAATGGAAGCAATAAAGCCAATACTAAATCCCAATTCTGTAACTTAGAAGTCAGCTGAGGTTGTCTGCTTTCCAGTTTCACGTCCAGTTGGCTTGAAGCCCACATCGAGTGGGACCTTAATTTTGGATAACTTCTAATTTAGCCAGTTTCTCAACCCCCTTTCCTCTTCTCCCATGGTCACAGCCCTCCCTTGTGCTCAGTTTGCTTTGTATGTGGATCAACTCAACATATTCCTGTTCTGCACTTTCTCATCTCTAAGACAGAATTCAACTCTATTTTGCACAACACACACAAACACACATCACAACATCCACCACCACTACCACCATCCACAACACATTCACCCAAGGTCTTTGTTGCTATACTGAACTTTGCTGAAAATCAGAAAGACTTGGAAATTTATGTTGAGGCAAAGGAAACAATTTAAACAGAATGTTTGGCATCTCTGAGCTTAAAGTATATCTTGGCCAATATCTCCCTCTTCTGCTTCTCATCCCAATGTGTAATTAGCCCTGTGCTGGTCAGTGATTCACAACTTGTTCTAAAAAAAAATCCCTGGCTTGTGGCACGTGCAGTTTCCATGGTGAAGAAACGCCTACTCCTTCTGACTGCAGCCTGCTGGCTGGGCATTGCTGGCCTTGGAACAAGCCTGCAGCCAGGCCCTGCAGGTGGGG